GTATATACGCGGGATCAATGGCGAAGAGCTTCCGCCTTCTATCGAAACGAAAAGACGGAAGCACTGGCTGAGATTGCTCGAGGCCGTGTTTCTTATCCCACATTTCGCAGTGACTACACAGTCCGAGACAATGACAGCGGCCACGATGAGGCATATCTATCCTTCAGGCACAAGCAAGTCAATGTTGGACAAAGGATGCTGCTATCAGGTTCCAACTTCATGAGCATCCTTTTGATCACGATCCATTTCTCATGACAGAGATTGGTGCGCTGGTGATTTTCCGTGGTGCATGAAATGCTAAGGGAACAATAATTGCCCGACTTCGTCATCGGCTGGCAAGATGTCGTGATCACATATTTCACCTCCAAGCACAGTGACAGGAGATCGATGTGTCGAACCCTCATCATTGTTATTGTCAGAAACCGATTGCAGATTTGCATGGTACGTCAGCCTAGACAAACACCATCTTGCCCGTAGATCTTCCATTCTGCCCTCGAGCAAGAAGGACAACCATCGACTTGACTGGGTCCGGAACCCCTTTCTCCTCAGGTCGACCTTCCCATGCGCTGCGTACACCGAGTTCCGCCTCCCATTCTCCCTTCGTAACATCTACCTCTTCAAAGTCGTCACCGTCAATTGAGATGCCCAAACAGTGTACCACTCCTTTCTCGACACCGCCTGAGATGCGTAGCTTCTTGCCATCCTTCGCATCGATCACAGAGGTGTGACTCACAGTCAACCCAGGCGGTGACATACCCATTTCCATCTCTCCCCTGAGCAATTGAATAGCATCCGTTGTCAGCTCGGGCGTCCTCGGAGGCGCTTGTCGAAGTCGACCGGCTTTCTCAAAAGCATAGGCATACCGAAACAGATTGCTGTCATCATATGCCTTAGACGCAAAGGTAAGGTTGACCGGCATGCCCGTATCAGACATCAACCCCATGGGTACGCTGACCGTCGGGATTCCCAGCTGACGAATCGCGCAGTTGCCGTTCGAGTAAAGCACACCGTTGCGCCATGCGTCTGCCGCAGAAGCCTCGTTGACGTCCGCATCCGCCTTCCCGACGTCTCCGTTGCACGGCCACACGACCGTATCGAGACCGCGCGCATCAAGCCAATCCTCAAAGTCCGCTTTACGCCTGGCCTCGAGGCCTTGGAGGGCCTTTGCAAGACCGGGTATGTCATAAGTACCGATGCGACCGCTGGTAACATGCGCAACAACGTCGGTATGCCGGACGAGGGGGTCATCCGACGCGTACTTGTCGGGAATCGATCCCGGCGGGCGAGGAAATATGGTCGCCGACTCTACTTGGGCAAGACTGACGGCAACGTTCTTGTCGCCGTTGTCCACAAGAAAATCGTCCCAGGCGTAGGCCATCAGTTGACACATGTCAAATTCATTGTGGTGGGGAGGCGCAATGCCGTCAGCGGAGCCGTCTTGAGTGCTTTCTGACCCCTGGTTCTCAAACTTCGTCACAACGGGGAAGTCTACTTCTTCCACAGTGGCTCCAAGGTCTTCGAGAATCTTCCTGGCGTTGCGCCAAAGGTCAACGACGGATTGCCGAGTGTGAACCTTCCGTGCGGCTGGGTCTGAGTCGAGTCCGCCAATGTACATCTTTGGAACGCCAACTCGTTTTCCTTTGAGAGCCTTGTCGTCGGAGAGCTCCTGGTACGACTTGGGCCGGATGCTGTCGATATCCGGGAGCTGCACATAGGGCTGTTCTCTCCAAAAGTCGCAGGACGTCTTGTCATCTTTGGCAACAATGACGTCCAGAAGAGAGAACATGTCCTGAACCGTCCGGGTATGAGGCACCACAGTGTCGCAGGTAGGAAACAGTGGCCAGTTTCCTCGAATGGATATGATACCCCGTGACGGAGTGTAAGCCACCAGGCCGTTGTTCGAAGCAGGAGAGCGACCCGACGAGATCGTCTCCTCTCCCATGCCAAAGACACCGAAGCTTGCCGCAGTCGCTGTCGCGGAGCCGTTAGAAGACCCGGAGGCAAATGCAGCCGTCAGGTATTCGGCGTTGTAGGGCGACTCGGCACGACCATACACGCCGCGCTGCATGCCTCCCGCGGCCATGGGCGGCATGTTCGTCCGGCCCAAAATTACCGCGCCGGCACCTTTGAGTCTCTTGACTGTGAACGCGTCCTCACTTGCAACCAAGTTTCTGAAGGCAGGCGAGCCAGCGGCTACCGTCATGCCCTGTTCCTTGTACGAATCCTTGATGGTGCATGGGATGCCGTCCAGAGGGCCGTTGACTTGCCCTGAGGCACGTCGCTGGTCTGAGGCCTGGGCAACCTCGAAGGCGTTTTCGTTGATGAGCGGGATTGCGTTGAGAAGTGTGGAACGGCGGTCGTATTTTGCGATACGGAGCAGATGCTTGGCCGTCAGCTCGACACTGTTGATGCGGCCTTGAGACAAGGCTGATTCAAGGTCGGCAATCGTGGCTTCCACAATGGAAAGTGTCTGTTGACGAGGTTAGCGGCCGTTGCCTGCGGCCACGCAACATAATGCCACGTTTCGATCAACTCACTTGAGGGGTGCCAATGGAACCCATGACTTCTGGATGTTGGCTTTTCAGATCGACGATGCGGTGCTTGAAACGTGTACGTGCGCGTTGAGACTTTGACTGCCCGTTCAAGATGGGCGTCGGGGTGCTATTTATGCTTCACAAATGATTCAAGGCAATTAATGATTGCTACAGATGAACATCATTCTTTTTCTCTCAGATTGTTCAGCTCGAAGAGCCGAGATGGTGGAAATTATCAACTATTGATTCATAACAATCTTTTTTATGATTTAACAGCTGTAGAATGTGTTAGTGGAGGTTCAACCCTACAATTTAGCAGCTGCTAATTGATGTTGTGATCTCAATCAGTGTTCCTTCTGCCCCCCGCCTTCCGTCCCGTTGGCGAGATAAGCTAGCAACTTTAGATTTGACAAACTTCGAGCGAAGCCCAAGTCTCAATTGGCTGCCAGCAAACAGGGGTTCAAGGTATATCATCAAAGGGAGATCCTCTGCCTCGTCTGCCAAACAAGGCTCATGTTTCCATCCATATCCTTTCGCCGCTCTATTTCTCATCAGTCAGCAGGATGCCAAATGCTATCGACTACGAGGATGTGCCAGGAACGGTTCGTCTTGTCGACGTAGCCGGGAATGCCTCTACCGAACTACACGATGCATCCCACAACGACATCGTTCTCGTACCCCGTCCTAGCTCGGATCCAGCCGACCCACTGAATTGGACTCATCGCCGCAAGCTCCTCGCCGTCAGCATGGCATATCTCTACGTCCTCGGCACCGGCATCGCAACTTCGCTCCAGTACTCCGTCCTCGCCGACATCACGAAAGACACCGGTATCTCCACCGCCAACTTGGTTCAAGGAACTGGTGTGATGTTTCTGTTCTTTGGCTGGGCCTGCTTGATATGGCAACCCATCAGCCTGACCTACGGACGCCGTGGCGTGTACCTCATCACGATGCTCCTCACCGTACCCATGATGGAGTGGACCGCTTATTCAACGTCAGCCGGTGAATGGTTTGCACACCGCGTACTCATTGGCATCATTGTCTCGCCGATTGAGTCGTTGTGTGAGGTCACGGTATTTGACCTCTTCTTTGCCCACAACCGAGGGACGTACATGGGTCTCTACGTCTTCATCCTTTTCGGGTCCAACTTTCTTGCCCCGCTCGTCGCGGGATGGTTCAACGACGCATACGGCTGGCGATGGACGATGCATTTCGGAAGCATCATCTGCGCGATTTGCTTCGTGATCATGTTCTTCTTCATGGAGGAGACAATCTTCTTTCGGGATCATGTCATTGACGGCCGAGAAACTGGCAGCCACGGGCTAGGCAGCCACGGCTCAACAGACATCAAAAATGATGCAAGCTCAGAGAAGGAGACCCAAGAACCAACCTCGTCGTCTCAAACCTCTGCAACCCAGTCTCTTGCTCCACTTCAAGATATTAACTCGGGATGGAGCAAGTATACACTCTTCAAGGCCCTCCCTGGACGGCCAAGCAATAGCGACATGCTACGCATGGCCTACAGACCTATCATCATGATTTTCCGATTTCCGACTGTTGCATGGGCTGGCTTCCTCTATGGAATCAACTTGGCCTGGTATAATGTTTTGAACGGGACCGCCAGTCCGGTTCTTACGGGCAACCCGTACAATTGGTCAGCGGCGCTGGTCGGCTGTGTCTACGCGGGCCCCATCATCGGCGCAGCTGTGGCTTCACTCTGGTCTGGAAATGCAGCAGACTGGATCGCCCTGCGGCTAGCCAGACGCAACAATGGTATCCGCGAACCTGAGCACCGCCTATGGGTTTTGGCCCTGTCTGGTGTGACATCCGCAGCTGGTCTCATCACTTGGGGTGTCGGCGCCTATCACAACGTCCATTGGATCGGGTTGATATTTGGCCTCGGCATGCTGACGTTCGGCGTTGTGACGGGCGGCTCAATTGCAGTAAGCTACAACGTTGACTGCTTCAAAGAAATCGCGGGAGAGACTACGGTGTCTATCATGCTGATCAGGAACACAATTGGGTTTGGCTTCAGCTACGCCATCACGCCTTGGTGGACCACGCAAGGACTGCAGAACTGCTTCATCACTGCGGCCATGGTCTCTATCGCGTGTACTTTCACGTTTGTGATCATGATTATCTACGGAAAGAGGATTCGCCGGTGGTCCATTCCCGCTTACCAGAAGTATATGGCAACGACAGTTGCTTCACATGAGTAAGACGGAAAAGTTAAAGACCGCGGACGGAGCCTGTTTGGAGTCCAGCAGAGAGAGATTTAATTTGGGAAGTTTGAGGGTTGCAAATGTTACACCAAAGATTGCAGGAGAATACCGTCTAGAATCCTGTTTCCATGTCCTTCTAATAAAGTCTAGGATAACGTCAAGCGCCCGCCGCCTGCAACCATACTGGATTCCATTGCCATTTGTAATCCTGCGTACCTGAGTTCTGACGATGCTCACAGTACAATCAGGAAGTGGCCTCTGCCAGCTCAAGGAGTCTTTCGGCAGCTTCAGCTGCAGATGGAATGTCATGCTCCAGGTTTTTGACCAAATCCCCCAAGAAAGTGATCAGCCGTTTCGCTTCAGTGCGATACACCCCATGTTCGTATCTGGAGGCATTGCGAAGCATGTGGCCTACCCCGAGAAGCTGATGCACAATCTGAATGCTTGCAACTTTGAACATGATGAGCGGGGCTTTGATCACCTCTTCTAAAAAGCTACTGGCGAGAGTCATGACCTCTTGAGCGGGTGCTTGGCAGTAGAGAAGGGCCATGATGTTCACGAGCGTCTCCGTGCAAGTGATCTGGACTGACATGTACTTGCAGCGGTTACTCTGAAATTCTCCATCTGCCTCAGTCAGGCCCAGGAGTATGCGAGACTTATTGGCCTTGAGTTGGGCTAGGCTGTTGAGCAGGGTCGTCGGAGCGGGCTTATCGTAGAGGACAGCCAACACTGCCTTCCGGTTCTTGCAGCCGTGCAGGCTGAAGATTGCGTATTCCAACAGCCGGAACAGGTCTGTGATGTAATCCCAGCCGGCAGTCCAGGCCTGTGTTTCCGGATCCATCGCTGGAGTGATGCGAGGATAGAGAACTGATACCTGCGATTCCGGCATCCGCACGACATGTCCAAGCACACATGCCGAGTGGACTTCAAGGCGATAGGCACACCAAAACAGGCGTCGGCGATCGTCAACCTCGAATGTCGTGATATCATCGGGCCAGCGGCTTTCATCGTGAAAGCCATGTTGCGCAACTGAGGCATGATAAAGCCCCAAATACCGGTGGAGGTCGCTGTGGTTGCCATGGCGCAGAGAGTAGACAGCCAAAAGGCCGAAGGACCGCAGATAGTCCAGGTTTTGCGACTGAGGGATATGAACTGGTATATTGGACACAGCCTCTGTGAAGTAGAGTTCGCTGTCGGGGATGGAGATGCCTTGAAGCAATGTGTCGTCAAAGACTGCGTTCATCGCCGCCATTTGGGAACTGACGGCGCAGAGCGACATGAGCAATGCGTACGATGGCCCATCGGTGTCGCTGATGCCGTTTTCCCAGCGCACCTCAAGATCCTTTTCGGAGAGGAACGGAAAGCTGCCATGATTAGCACCCGCATAATGACCTGCAGACTGCAAGACAAAACTTACTAGCATTGATACATCGTATCGCGGTAGATTCGAATCAGTCGGCGAATGGCGTAGAATGATTTGAACCCACCAATGGGTCCTTCTCCACCGTCGTCCTGCATCGCAGGAGGCTTTGCGATAGCCGGCTTTCGTCCCCTTTTTCGGATAGGCCGGCTCATTGTGCATTCGATCTCATAGTCATTACAGTTGAGGCAGCTCTCTCTTGCCCTTTTCCCCTGATCGAATCTTGCCAGTCCCGGGCGGCATCTGAGGCCTCTGGAGTGGCAGAAATCGCAGGCTTGCGAAGCCCGTTGTCTCTTCTGAGTGTGGGACATTATGAGCAGCGCGATAGAAGATCGATATCACAATCGGGAATGATTCAGTGTTTGAGAAGAAAGATGAAGATATTATCAACTGGAAAGAGTGAATCGTTAGGGGTTTCCTGTGTTTGCGAAAGTCTTCTCAAGCTATTCAGCCGCTGATAATTGCGATAGCAGGAGTCGATAAGAACTGCCGATGGGCGATGAAGTCCTTATCGCAATTATCAGCGGCTAAATTGATTCGTGAAGAGCTGATAAAAACATCGTTTCCATTGAAGAGGACCGTGCACCATGAACTTTGATTTCCTTCGCAAAAAGGTCATGGGACCCCAGACGGCACCGCGCTACGTGCTCGGCAAAGTGAGGTTTTGTATGCTTCGTGGCATGCGGCGAAAGTTTTAAATACTGCTATCTGTCGTCGTTTCTAGTATCGTTTTCGTCATCGTTATTCTTGTCTTTCTCTTATTACTATCATCGATACGCATGCTTGATTGAAGTAAATTCGCTGAACTGTGGATTTGTGGACCAAGGAAATACGGGCAGCCACGCAGACGTGGGAAACTAGGTGGTCTCTAGATCTAAGCATCGCTAATATCTTTCAACCTAGTTTGAAATAATAGGACGAAATATAATACGCGCTGGTACCCTTTGTGAAGGCGTTGGGTCAGAGGTGCTGGAATACAGATATTATTGGGATCACAAGATGGTGCCTTGATTTTGATGCTCTAAGAGCCTTTATCCCATCTTCCATTCGATTAGCCTGCTACTTTTCCAAGCGAGTGCCAAAATTGCCCAGGACTGTAAAGCTCTCAAGTGGCTCGCGACATGACACGACTGGCTATAAGATCCTGCACCGATTGGACTAGCCCATATGACAAATGGTCGCTCGCCAGTTGGCAATCGCAGTCTGGGTGGGGGGCACACACAAAATCGTCCTTATCAAGAGTTGTTAGATCTTGGCTAAGATGTGTGCTCATCGAATGCTTACCTCCAAACAGATATCTCGGACGATGCCGCTACGTTCAAGAATATCATCATAGTTGGGAAAAGTCCTGTTTGCCTGCATTGCTTGAGCAGCGAACATGCCGAATGGAGTTCGATTATCGGATCGTCCTTGACTGTCGACGTTGGAGGCCCGCCCAGGTGTGCGATAGGGATTCCCAACAAGCACAACAGCGTTGATGGCTTTTATTGTCTCGTGGCCCAATTTTCCGAGGGCTTCTAGAACCACTGTTGCTCCTTGAGAATATCCCAGTAGAGAGTACTTTTGATTGGGGCAGTCCTGTAGGCCACGGCGAATGGTATCGACCGTGTTCTGCACGCCGACGGTGACGTTCTGATCGAAGCTAATTAGCGGGATAGATGATGGACTGAGTAATGATCTCGGTGGTATTTGCGATCATGTGTTCTATGGCAATTTGAAATGACAGAGAGACACCTTGAGGCTCACCAGATCCTCGAGCATCGACAATCTCTTGGTTATGCCGTCAGCATCTATGGAAGCTTGATCTGATTTCCTCACTCATTATAAGGATTGCAATTTTGAACTGGTTGGGCACTGCTGATGTTAACGCGACGTATTCCGAGAAAGCTTGGATCACCGCAGCGACAGGAGCCCTGGGCGCGAGCCAAACTCGCAATGCTCAAGACGACAGCGGCGATAAAAGTAAATAAGGTTGCTGAACAGAGCATTGTGAAATTGTTTGGAGCAACAAAATCAATTGTCAACAAAGACTTTGCGGTCAAAGTCAACGCTTATTTCCCCTTTTACGATGTTAAATACTTTACACCGCCACGTCCGTACGGTGTTCGACTGGGCATTTCCAAATTTACGGGTTCAAATTAGGATAGTCGGCGGGATACGCGTATACAGAGATTTTTGGGGCTATAAGAGGAACAGTCTATGTACAAGCTTGCATAATTGTTGAAGGGTCAGCTATGGAACGACGGACTGAATTTCAAAAAATGATTGACAAATGAAAACAAGCTATTAAGTCTAGCTTTCAGTTGAGACTATGATTCAAACTCTCCCGTTGGAGAGATTCCGGCGGTCTCTCAAATCTCCGTGTTGCCAAGAGATGAAATCATAATAACCGTAGGTACCCTGGTTTCTCTTCTTCGTGAGTCCCAAGACTTGTCTCTTGGATGCCACCCTCGTGGATAACATGTCGCCGACGAAGTTGGTGACTTGCTTAGTGGCGTACGCCGCACCTCTGACCGGGGCAGTGACTGCGGTGCCAACGGCCTTGGTGACGCGTCCGATGCGCGCAAAGGTGCGTCCGAAAAACCCGGGCTGAGGCTTGTTGGCGTCCTTCTCAGACTTCGAGTTCGCACTCTTAGCGCGTCTCTTTTTCTCCATCTCAACCTCATCCTTCGTTGTCCTAATATAGAGACGCTCCCACATGCCGATCTGCTCCTCGTGAAGGGTCATGTTGCGCTTTGTGTTGACCCAAACCCACCTCTCTCCATCGTCAACCTTCCTGACCTCACCTCCGTTAACCATCGGGTCCATTTCTTTCCAGACCCATCTCTCCCCATGCTCGTCTTTGCCCAATTCTCCTCCCGCAGGAAGTTCCTGCCAAACCCACTTTCCATGCTCATGATTAGGTTGACGCAGGGTTTCCCAGATCCACCCTTCAGTGCGCTCGGGCTGGTAGAGGTCCTCTTCAAATGGCATCTGCTTTGGCACCACCATGGAGTCTTCGATAGGCATGCCTCCGTGAATAGAGGATACATCGCCAGTCAGTGTCTTGTAGGTGAATCCGTAAGTCGGTCCAGGTCGTTTGGCCCACTCTGGTCGGTCTGTTGCCGCCCGACGGATTTCAAACCCATTCTCAATCGAGGTCAGTGCAGGACACTTCCATTCATTCTTGTCGGTCAGGTCGTTGCCCTTATATACGTAGCGAATGCGCACCGATGGATGAATGAGCTCATGAGTTTCCCCGAGCGCATCGCCTTTCTGGGAAGTGTAGAGGCCGGGCGTGCGGCTTCCCTTTTGGGTATTATATCCCATGAAGGAGTTGACGGGGGACTTCACTGCATCATACACCTTGTCAGGCACACTCGTGAATCCCCCGGGGCTGGTGATGATAGCCATGCCCCATTGCCGAGGCTCGTTCTTGAAGCCCACCGATCGGAAGACACGAACCATCTCCTCCGGAACAAACTCCACGCCGATAGATGAGAGTTGATCCGCCATCCCTAAAATAGTTAGCTTTCAATCTCAACAATTGGACATGTCAAGTACTGGAAGATGACTTACATGCAAGCGAGACCAGAGGATTGCGGTTATCCTCAGTGCCTCCACCGACATCGCTATGAGTTCCTGGAAACCACACCTGGCGAAGATGGGTTGTGTTGTTTCCCTCAGCCTTGCCCCATAAGGTGGGCTTGAATGTGGTTCGCCACTCGTCCAATGCAAGTGCATGGAATGCATAGTCAACCCTGTCAGAGATGTTGCGGCTCGCAAAGCGCAACTAACATAACCAGTCAGCGTCTAGGAAGGTGATGTGGCGTCGCTTCTGAGTTGAAAGACTTTGAAGCAGAAGCCAGCCCACTTGACTCACCTCTCTGGGGTCACGTCCAGGCCGGACGATATCAAGACGCCAGGGCATCTTGGGATACCCAAGGCTACCAACCGTGTCCCAAACGCCTGATATTCGCGATTCTGTTAGCCGAAGAAATTGCAAAACGGTTCTGCACTCTGGACGTTACTCACCCACGGCCTTGACTCTCACTACTTCGGGGACCCATTTGCTGTCCTCCTCTTGCACACAGTGAATCATTTTGAACTATTTCTTCGTCAGTCGTGGTTCCCACTGAGTTGGCAATTTCTTGCTCCATACGAAGCGGAAATAGCACTTACGCCTTTGAGATAATCTCGATACTTGTTCACCATCTTGCGAACCTTGCTCTCCACCGACCTCTCTGTCTGCCTGTTGTGTTCGTACCCTATATTCTTGAGGCGGTCGAATCGCTGCTTATTCTTCTCGTAGTTCGACTTCTCGACATCCTTGATGTCCTTTCCGTCGAAGTACCCAAACCTGTCAACCCAGTCTTCTTTCTCATGCTCATCCTCATCTTTGGCCGCCATTTGCCGATGCAAGTCATTGGTCAAGTTGAAGGCCTTGAGATGCTTCTTCTCGTCGTAGGCAGCAAACTTGGTCCAGTTGGGGAAGTCCTGATAATCGTCGAAGATAGCTCCGAAGTTACTGAGGCCAAAGCTGTTGAGCAGACCAATGGAGCACACCATTCCGGAAACGGATCGCGCAGTGAAGGCTCCGCGAGAGAAGCCCACAATCACAATTTCGTCGCCCGGGCTGTAGTTCTCGCAAATGAAGCGATAGCAGTCCTTAATGTCCTGTGGGTGCATAAGTTAATCTCTGACAGGTGTGCATAACGGATTCTCGTTTCCTAAGACGACTTACTGTCAGAACGCCAGTGCCAAAGGCTCCGCCAATTGTTCTAGCGGCGAGAGACTCTTCTGTGCCGACTCCGCGGTGATAGTAGACGACTTGCGGCATGCCGGTGCAGCATTTTTGCGCAATCGCGGTGGAGAGCCTGCTGACATTCGTTGTGTAGCCATTTGATCCATTTCTTCATACGTCCGGCACTGTCAGTGAGGTTGTTCTCTGTGGGAGGAGCTAAGAGGGCCCTTTCAATACGCCAGGGGTAGCTTACGAGTCGTTCCATGTACCATCACAACACACGATCAACCGCTTCTTGTGGGTTCCCGACTTCGTGGGATTATGAGCACATACGTGCTCGGTAATTGGGTAGTGACAAGACATAATGGAATGATTGCTGGGAGAGTCGACCTCGTAGAATAGAAGGCCACACAATTGACGGAAATCAGACTGTTAAGGGGGTTTCGAAGATGCCCTTCGGCTGTTGTTATACGAGCCTAGCCGTCACATGGAAATCAGCAACATCAAAAGATCAGCGACCAATCTGAACCTTTGTCTCAGACAATCGCATAAGTTCTACCGAGCTAGATGCACTAGTTCCCCGGATGATGCGGAGGAGAGTGATCAACTACCCGTCCCCATATTTCGGCTGGAGAAATTTGACCACATTAGACATTCCATGGCATCAAAGGTGTCTTTCCAAATGCGGACACATTCGTCAGGAATTCGGAATCTGATTCGGCACTTCATCCCGAGGTGGCTAGTCGCTTCATGTCGAAAATGACCGAATCGTATTCGGACCGCCCTGATTCTGAAGGAACATTCCATCCATTTGAACACGAAGGCTTGAATTTCATTTTTATCCTTGTCTTGAAGCTTAGAAGACCGTTCGTAGAGTCTTATTGCTGCCTATGAGAGTAAGCTTCATCGTTGACATCACCATCGCAATCATCGTCCGTTTCCAAATGGTCTTGTACTTTAAGCGCTGGCACGAACCTACCGACTTTTTGACCGAAAGCATCTACGTCACTATCCGCGCTTGACACCGGTCGCAATAACGTTGCCTGTTTAAGTGAAAAGTGTGATTCACAACGCTGGGGCAGCTGAACGCTTCGTGTCGTTGCGGGAATCTCCATGTCTCAGCCGTGAATCAAACGATGTCTCGGACTGGTCAGATATCCCCTCCAAAGGCCAAGACGGCATGCAATGATCTACAGAATCTCCTCGGAATGACGATATATGAATTGCTAAAAGACAACTAAGATATGTCAAAAGGGATCGACGGAAGGCTTGCATAGTATCGGGAGCTAAAACGCTTGCGACCGTGGAATCTTTCTGTTTTATAACTCTTTCTGACTCATGTTGTTTGCTAACTCAAAGGTCTTGGAACGTGTGAAGGATGGAGTCCTTCGTCCTGGCGGCTATTTCCTCGATTTCTGCCGCCGTGCTGGTATATGCGGGAGCAAGCAGAACATGGTCCCCCAGAGTTCCATCCTTTGTACCGTTACCTGGGTAGAGGCTGATACCAAACTGATTGAGGCCATTCAGATGCACCTTATTAGCTATATCGTAGGACCGCGAGAATGGCTCCTTGGTCGCTTTATCGGACACAAATTCGATCTAGATCCATCTTAGCAGTCTTCTCTTCAAGGAGTGGGAGACGTCATAACCTACTCCCCAAAAGAGGCCTCTTCCTCTGATGTTGCCCACATAAGGATGTTCGTCAAGGTGTTCATGCAGAAGTTTCTCAAGGAGAGCCCCTTGAAGTCTAACGTTCTCGACCAGATTGTCCTCTCGCACGATGCGTTGCACTTCTAACGCAGCGGCGCATCCAACGGGGTGGCCTTGATAGGTGTGTCCATGGGAGAATGCACTGTTAAATATGTGAGTCGATGGCGCTAACGAAAACCGGACTCCCCTTACCCAGTGCCGCTTGTGAGAGCATCGGCAACTCTGTGATTCATCAACAGACCGGCGACAGGGGCATAACCACCGCCCAAGCCCTTAGCCATGGTTTGAATATCCGGCGTAACGCCTTCATGCTGCCAGGCATGCAATGTTCCGCAACGACCCATGCCAGACATGACCTCTGTATCGTCGTGAGTGAGAGTGAGAGCAATTAGAGAGACGGCTACTTACCGTCGAAAATCAGAAGAGCACCGTACTTATCACAGACATTCTTCATGGCCTTGAAGTACCCGGGAACCGAGGGCACACAGCCAAGGGCCTTTAGCACATTAGTTAGGCTTGTAGATTTGTGTGAAGAGTATGCGATGGAAGCTTACTGCACCGACGACTGGTTCAGCGACGAAAGCGCACACAGTCTCGGGACCCATCTCCTGAAACTTGCGGTCCAACTCATCAGCTAGCTGCTCAACGTATTGCTCGACTGTCTGGCCCTCAGTCATGCCGCGATACGCATTGCATGGCGAGACTCGGCCGATATTAGGTAGAAGCATGTCTGTGAAGAGACTTCTACGTGCAACATGGCCGCCCATAGACAGTGAGCCAAGGGTAGTGCCATGGTATGAGTTTTCTCGGGCGATAAACTTGACTCTTTGCGGTTGGCCAATCTCAACGAAATATTGACGCGCCATCTTCATCGCCGCATCCATTGCCTCCGAGCCTATGATATCACAGTCAGAGAAGCTGGACCATACTATAGTTAAAAATGCATGCGTCTTACCGGAGCACATGATATATGCCTTTGACATGAGACCATCAGTTCCTCGAATCAACTCATCCGCCAACTCTTCCCCGATGGGGTGCCCAAAGAACATCGAGTTGCAGTACGCAAACTTGTCCAGCTGCGCAATCATCGCCTTCTTAACGCGCTCATTGTTGGATCCAATGCAAGCCACCGCAGCCCCGCAGGTCGTGTCCAAAATGGTCTGGCCATTGGAGAAGGTTAGATACTTTCCGTTCGCTGAGACCACCTGCGGCGGGGCGGATTTCAAGCTGCGATGAAGAACAGCACTCTTGTTTGAGGGCATCATCTTCGCGATCGCTGGCTGGAGCTCTGCATCGGTTGCTGCTGTCGCATTGACCGCAGCCCCCGCAGATGAAGTGGTCGACATCCTTGCCACTTGAGCTCGGTAGACCCTCGCCGCCAAGGGCGATGCTTTGCCTCGCAAGGACATCGTGAATATGCTTCCGGAGGTCCTGTGATGTGAGATTGAGAATGTTCTGAGTGGTCAAAACGTCGCGTTCGTGAGATTGTTGAGAGGGTGTAGGATCTGAAGCCGCAAAGGTCTGAATTATAATAGTCCGAGGCCCTTATCACGGTCAAAGCTACAACAATGCCGGCCGCTTCTTATCGGGTTAATTTACTTCTCAACGGTTTGCTACCTCACTGCTGATCATTGACCTCCGATTCGATAAGCACATGCGCATGCGTGGCTTATCTGCAGGGCGTATCTGGCGTGTCCCACTGCGGAGTTGATGGGCGGGGTCGGTCTCCTTCCACGTGGGCGCAGCGGAGGATTACGACTTTACTGCCGATATTCCTTCACAATACTTCAGGTATTTTCTCTTCTTCTTATAAACGATTCAACCGTAAACCTGATCTCAATCAGCCTCTTAAAAAATATCGTGTACTGCAAACGCAGATGGACTCTCGAAAGAGATCACCTTTCGTCTATTTGTTAGAGACCGCATAATTTCCCGACATCTAAGCGGCTCTATTTCTTACGCACTTCATTACTCCTATCAAAAGCGCTAGTAATAATAGTAGTAATAAGGACGACAATAAAGATAATAATAGAAGTAATAATAAGGATAGAAGCGACGATGATAACAGAAGACGACGACGACAAAGTGATTAAAGTATGGCCACAGGAAAAGTAGTCGCTCTAGCACAGGGAAAATAGGAGGTCTCAGTTATCACAGCAATCATTACTTATTATATTGTTCGCTATCTCATCGTCATCCTCGCCTACACCGGAAAACCAGAGTCGGAGACGTTCAAGTTTACATGCACTTCCTTGGAAAGAATAAAACACCTGATGTCTTGCGATGCATTGAACAATACAATTGCCACAACTATTTTGAAAATCACCAGTATTCTTTCACATATCCTTCGCGTTTTCCACGTTCCTCACGCTCGCACTAACCAATTGACTCTTTGCTGCAATATTCTCAGCCAGCTGCGACACAGGCGCGTTGCTCAGGATGTCGAACACGCTGACATCACTCTTAACATCCTTGAATACCCAGGCGCGCACCTCGACCGCCACCAAACTGTCAACGCCGTACGCATTCGCGGGTCTACTCGAATCCAGGTCCTCAATTTCGATCAACATGGCCTTGGCAAGCTTGCGCATCAGGGCACCGCACACCAACTCCGATGCCTCCGCTAAGGTCGTGGCCGCCGCCAGCGCAGCTTGTAGTTCTGCTGTCGTATCTTCGCTGACAACGGCAAAAGACTGCGTGTCGTAGATGCGCAGGTGCGTAAAGCGGCCATCCTCAAACCAATAAGGCTCGTCATGGCCGTTTTGCTTGAGCAACCCGCCGGTGGAGAGGCCGACGACCGACTGGATTGGTAGTTCGTCGGCCATGGCTGCTTGAACAGTGGTCAGCAGCTCTTTCTCGCGGACACCGATCATGGCGCCCGATTTCAGGTAAGTCAGAATCTCGCCGCGCTCGGCGGTGATGCCGATGCCGAGCACGACACCGACGTTGATGCTAGTACCCTTGAGGCCGTGGGCGCGGCGGTTGTGCATCAGAGCATCCTGGTAAGTGTTGCCTGCGTTGTAGTTTCCTTGTCCACGGGAGCCTACGATGCCGCCCACTGAGGACAAGCAGATGAAGAAGTCGAGGTCTTTGGGAAGCAAATCGTGCAAATTGCGCGTTCCCTGCACCTTCGGACGAATGGCGGCGACGTAGTCGTCGATGGTCATTCTTTCAAACGTAGAATCCTAAATCGTCGTTAGAACCTGGCTGCGTTGTGTCCTTCAGCCCCGATGACTATGATAGTACATACCTGAAGTTGCATGGCGCAGGTGAGGACGCCGGCTATGGGAGGAAAGTCGGCCTTGATCTCATCGAGTGCTGCTGCGAAAACCTCCTTCTGACTAATGTCGCACGCGAAGGCCTTGACATTGACGCCGCGTTTGACAAGATTGTCCACAAGCTCCTTGGCTGCTGGTTTGGTAGCTCCGGATCTGGACGTGAACGCAAGATACCTGGCGCCGTGATCTACCATCCACGACGCAATGGAGCGGCCCAGACCTCCCAGGCCTCCGGGAAGAAGATAGGTAACGTCCGGTCGTAGGTAGAATGGCTTGATTCTCTGGGGAACGATCTACCAGTAATCCGAGTCAGTCTAATTCCCCACTGAAGGCAAAAGCAATGAAGGGCATGGACGAAGACTGTTAAGTAAGCGGTGTTTGATCTTACCGGGACCAGGTCACTATCTCCCGCCTTTAGAACCATCTTGCCAATGTGCTTGCCGGTCTGCATGATCCGGAAGGCCTCCTCGATCTGAGAGTAGTCCATTACTGTCAGCGGATCGATAGGTCTGATGACCCCTTCCCCCAGAAGCCTCATCACATCGGAGATGATTCTAGCAAACAGCGGGATGTTGCTTCTGTAGATGGAAAGCATGTTGACACCGGCAAAAACGATGTTGTGCATGAAAGGGCTCATATCCAATCCGGTGTTGCCCACTAGTAAAGGCCTCACGTTAGCCGGAAGTATGTTTCGAATACGAGTTGACTTACCAATATCTCGCTTGCCGACCTCAATGAAGCGGCCAAAAGGGGCAACGCATAGCCAGGTCTGGCGGAGGGCCTCACCAGCCAGAGAGTTGATGACAACGTCCACCCCACGACCATTCGTCATCCGCTTGATCCCATCGGCGAAGGAGAGATCTCTGCTATTAAAGATATGATCTTCATGAATACCGTACTGTTCCATCAAGAACTGCTTCTTCGCCTGCGATGAAACCGTGACGTAGATTTCTGCGCCAATGTGCTGCGCCAGAATGATAGCAGCCTGTCCGAGGCCGCCCGCAGCAGCATGAATCAAGATGGACTCCTTTGCCTGAAGTCGTGCGACGTCGTAGATGGAGTAGTAAACCGTCGTCCAGATGCACGGAATTGTGGCTGCGGCTTCAAAGGAGATGTTATCGGGCATCTTCTGGTACATTTCTTCCGGGTTCCGAAGGAAGGTACGGTAACAACCGAGGCGGAATGTGATCACCTTATCTCCTACCTTGTACTTATCGACGGCTTTGCCCACTCGTGTAACGACTCCGCTGCACTCAACACCGAGATCTGTGTCGGCGATCTGGCCCATGGAGATCATGACGTCATGGAAGTTCATGCCGACTGCCTTCACGGACATTTCGACAAAGTCGTCAGGAAGCGGCTTTGCATATTCCTGATCGTCGACAAACTGGAAGGTATCGAGCATCCCTGGAGTGCGCACAGCAAGTGAAATTGCCCGCCCTGGTTGGTTGTAAGAAAGAATTTCCGGAAGTGGCTGCTCGGCGCTGCTCTCCAGCATGTCGTTGAGCGGCTTGTCTGGCTCGAGGCGGGAGACGTAGACTTTGCCGCCGCGTAGAGCGTATTCCCAGTCTGGACGCTCGATCTTGCTTGCGTTGGTGCTAGATCTCAGGATGCGAAGAACCGAGTCCTCGGCGCCCTTGGGATTGGTTGCATCACTCGGATCGAGGTCCAAAAGTGTCAGCTGAATACTAGGAACTTCTCCTCGGAATGTGCGGCTCAGTCCTGGAAGCAGGTTGGATTCGGGCACTTCACTATCCATAGCAGCACCTTTAGTAAGCCACAAAGTGCTCTTCGCTGTGAGGATGAGATGTTTGAGCGCTTCAAAATCAGCCTGGCTGATGGTGTCCATGAAAGGCTCCGAAACCTCGATGAAAGAGAGGCAAGCCTTCGATGAGAGATCTTGGTTCTCGGTCTCCTGAAGTGAAGTGATATCCACTTGGCAGCCCTGCGACCTCAAGGTGTGGATGATGTTAGTGAAGAGCAACTCGTCGGAATCGTCCATCTTCACGGGTCTGATTGCCACAATGTCTTGAGGCAACTCCTCAACGGGGAGAGGAAGTGCTCTCGATATCATTAGGGAGACGGAGTAGTCCACGGTCGCGTGGTCACGGAAAACCATGTCCAGGCCTGTGAATCCCTGCTGCTGAAGACGGGTCTGCCAACCTTGCTCCGTGAGCATGGGGCCCCAGTTACGATTGTCATTGACACCTGGCTCTCAGTCAGTCCCATCCGGCAATTGAAAGGAAAGGACTCAAGTCCATCTGGTTAGTGTCTCACCGTTCCATAATCCTGACAAGGTACCAAAAATCAACGGCACGCGAGCCATCGTGCCGGTAAGCTCGACCAGCAGGAGTGTGCCGCCACTGCAGGTAAGAATGTCAGTAGGTTGGGACAGAATCAAGAGCAACGAGCATCTGATAATTAGGCAGGAAGACGACTTACGGCTTCAGCATGGTCCTGCAGTTTGCAAGACACGCATCAATGGAAGTGGTGGCGTGCAATACGTTGTTCGCGATGACGAGGTCGTAAATCCCCGGAGTAATGCCTTGCTTGACGGGATCCTTCTCGATGTTCAGGACCTTGAAGTCGAGGAAAGCAGCCCACTCTTTGAAGTCCTCCTCAGCAGGTTCGAAAAAGCCACTGCTGATGTCGGTGTATGTGTATTGTGAGAGACAAGCAGATACTTCTGACCGATCACCAAGAGCGTTTAGCACCACTGTTGTGGTGCCTCCAGTCCCGGCCCCGACCTCAAGAATCTTCATGGACTTCTTGTGCTTGAATGACTCGATGAAGTCCTCAATAATGGGGTTCCACTTCTCCGTGCCGATGCCGTTGCGGTAGTAGTCCGTGAGAAGATCATCCTCCCTCAGGACCTGGAGCGGCTCAAGCTCGCCAGAGAATATCTTGTCAAGCACCGCTCCCTGTTTGCACATCAGCTTCCCGTCAATGGTGGCATCGGAAACCTTGGCCAAGTGCGCATCGTCAAATTCCTGCGTAGTCTTAAGCCAGTCGAGATCAGGAGTCTGGCAATTGAGCTTTCCCTCGGTCGCCAGGCTGTATTGCAGCTG